CTGTTTTAGAAACTATTCCTCACTTTACAAATGAGCAAACTAAGACTTTACAAAATTAGTTTTCCCAAAGTATAAATTCAAATAGTTTGCTCCTATCAAAATACAAATTTCAAAAAGTTAAAACATGATTTTCATACAAATTTGTAGTCCAAGACTTACTTACCTCATTTGTGACAGAACCGGCTGTTTAGAGGACAGAAGATTGCTTGAGAGAGAGAGAGAGAGAGAGTGAGTGTGCATGTGTATGTTCATGTCACCAGTAGAAGAAAAGAATGCTAGATAAAATTGCAGTTATATAGAGAATAGAAAACTGACTAATAAAACACAGAGAAATAAAACCAAAACCTTTAGGTTCTTTTTTATTGGACATAAATCATTTGACTCTCTATAGAACAAAAATCAGTTGTGACTGATTCATTTTCTAAATGTTCATCTAATTTTAAAGACAACCAATCTGAATCAATAAAGCATATTAGATCAAACAAAACCACATCCCCAGGTGATCAGTGGTTTCAGGTGGACTAGACATTTGCTATGGCCTGAATGTCATCCCTCAAAACTCTTGTGTTGAAATCACCAATGTGACAGTATTAGGAGGTAAAGTCTTTGGGAGATGATTAGGTCACATGAGGAGAGCCTTCATGAATGGGATTAGTACCTTTATAAAAGAGGTCCCAGGCCGGATGCAGTGGCTCAAGCCTGTAATCTCAGCACTTTGGGAGGCCGAGGTGGGTGGATCACAAGGTCAAGCGATCGAGACCATCCTGGTCAACATGGTGAAACCTTGTCTCTACTAAAAATACAAAAAATTAGCTGGGCATGGTGGCGCGTGTCTGTAATCCCAGCTACTCAGGAGGCTGAGGCAGGAGAATTGCCTGAACCCAGGAGGCGGAGGTTGCGGTGAGCCGAGATCGCGCCATTGCACTCCACCCTGGGTAACAAGAGGGAAACTCTGTCTCAAAAAAAAAAAAAAAAAAAAAAAAAAAAGGTCCCAGGGAGCTGCTTTTCCCCTTCCACCCTGAGAAGACACTCTGAGCAGGTGTCTTCTAGATCCTGAATCTGCAAGTGACTTGATCTTGGACTTCTCAGCCTTGAGAACTGTGAGAAATAAATTCTTATTGTTTACACGTTTCTCAGTCTAAGGTATTTTGTGACAGCAGCCAGCATGGACTGAGACAATGCTGTGTACAGCACTATCTAATGAACCTTTCTGTGATGATGACATGTTCTATTGCGCTATCCCATGAGGTAGCCACGGGACACATGTAGCTGTTGAGCACTTGAAATGTGACTAGCGTGCTGAGGAGCTGAATGTGAATTAATTTAAATTGAAGTAGTCACATGTAAACAGTGACTATGACTTTAAAAGAAGTCATAGAGTCAATAAAGCATAGTAGATCAAGAAGATTGCTTATAAGTGTGTGTGTATTTGTGTGTGTTCATGTGTGTGTGTTCGTGTTTCACGACTTTGAAAGAAGTCAGTCAATAAAGCATAGATCAAGCAGATTGCTTGTGTGTATATGTGTACGTGTGTGTTCATGTGTTTATGTGTGTGTGTGTTTCATGACTTTGAAAGAAGTCATAGAGTCAATAAAGCATGGTAGATCAAGATTGCTTATGTGTGTGTGTGTGTGTGTTCATGTCTGCAGAATAGCCAGGTGATTCATTCCCACAGTAAATTCTGGGAAGAACCATTGTGGATGATATTGACAAAAGTGGTTGTAGACCACATTCTGAGAAATACTGCTCCAATCCCTGCTCTTCCAGAATCCACTTGCAAAAAAAGCAAAGGTGGTATTATCGATCCTACTTAACAGTTGACAGGTCCACTGCTGAAAGGCAGTATCATTGGTCAGTGGTCATGCAGTTTGCTGATAAAACAAACTGAAAGCAGGTAGTCTAAATGCAGCTGACTGCAGCCCAGAATTGTCAGATATTGCCATTTTCCAGAAAACTCCACAAATCTGAATTTTTATATAAGATAGTCTTGATTTTCAAAATCCTATGTAGACCAAAGAAAATGAGTTTGGAATCCTGATATAGTCCATGGGATGCCAGTTTCCAACCTGGCTAGCTCAGTACAAAGTTTACCCTGCTGTCTCTACAAGGAACTGTGGACAAAGGTTTGGCCTTTCCAGATCTTTCCAGGCAGAATCAAAAGCTTCTCACAGCACTTGTCAATATGGCCCTTTCAATGTTCAGTGCTGTGAGAAAAAAATTTCTGTTATTTATAAATTACCCAATCTAAGGTATTTTATCACAGCAGTCCAAATGGATTGCTTGTCACATATCCCTAAAAAGGTATTTACATGCTGTCTTTCCAACTAGATTGCAAGTCCCTGGAGAAGAGGAACATACTCAACTATCAGTTGTCAGCATAACACCTGACAAATAGAAAGCATTTAATATACCTTAGGTAAGTGAGTGTGCATGAAAATTAGAAGCTTAAACCAGGCATAGTGGCTACACTTGTAATTCTAGTTCCTTGGGAGGCTGAGGCAGGAGGATTCCTTGAGCCCAGGAGTTGAGACCAGCCTGGGCAACATAGTGAGATCCCCCCACAATAATTAAAAGCTTTTTAAAAAAAATCAGAAACTGGAATGGGCACAGTGACTGAAATCTGTAATCTCAGCACTTTGGGAGGCTGAGGCAGTCAGATTACCTGAGGTCAGGAGTTCGAAACCAGCCTGATCATCATGGAGAAATCCCATCTCTATTAAAAATACAAAATTAGCCAGGTGTCGTGGCACATGCCTGTAATCCAAGCTACTCGGGAGGCTGAGGCAGGAGAATCACTTCAACCTGGGAGATGAAGGTTACAGTGAGCCGAGATTGTTCCATTGCACTCCAGCTTGGGCAACAAGAGCAAAACTCCATCTAAACGGGCTGGGCTCAGTGGTTCCCACTTCTATTCCAGCACTTTGGGAAGCCAACGCAGGAGGACTGCTTGAGGCCAGGAGTTAAAAGACCAGCCTGGGAAACATAGCAAGATCTCTTTCTTTTTTTTTTTGAGACGGAGTTTCACTCTTGTTACCCAGGCTGGAGTGCAATGGTGCGATCTCGGCTCACCACAACCTCCGCTTCCTGGGTTCAGGCAATTCTCCTGCCTCAGCCTCCCGAGTAGCTGGGATTACAGGCACGCGCCACCATGCCCAGCTAATTTTTTGTATTTTTAGTAAAGACGGGGTTTCACCATGTTGACCAGGATGGTCTCGATCTCTTGACCTCGTGATCCACCCGCCTTGGCCTCCCAAAGTGCTGGGATTACAGGCTTGAGCCACTGCGCCCGGCCGTTCTCTTTCTACTAGAAGTGAAAAAAAAAAAAAAAAAAACTGGGCATGGCAGTGCATGCCTGTAGTACAAACTACTTGGGAGGCAGAAGCAAGAAGATTGCTTGGGCCCAGAAGTTTGAGGTTGCAGTGAGCTGTGACAGTCACTGCACTCCAGCCTTGTCTCTTAAAAAAAATCAGAAGCTTAAATAGGGTGGCTATGGGCCAAATGAATTTATTTCCTTGTTGTCATATTGTTGTTGTTATTAAACAACATAGCAAGATCCCATTTATAAAATAAACAAACAAAAAAGTACAAACAGAGTCTTGCTATGTTGCCCAGGCTGGCCTCCAAGTCCTGGGCTCAAGTAATCCTCCCACCTCAGCCTCCCAAGTAACTGGGACTATACACTACATTGCTGAACCTGGCTTGAGCCTCGGTTTAAGAACTGTAATGGGGTTCCTCTGTAATCCATAATGGTTTATTTATTGCTGCCACACAAAACATACTCGTTAAATTTGTACAGTTCTAAAACTCACCCTCTTTTATGTATGTATGTATGTATGTATGTATGTATGTATGTATGTATATATGTATGTATGTATTTGTAAGACAGAGTCTCACTCTGTTGTCCAGGCTGAAGTGCAGTGACACAATCATGGTTCACTGCAGCCTTGAACTCCCTGGACTCAGGTGATCCTCCCACCTCAGTAGCTGGGACTACAGGTCTGCATTACCAGGCCTGGCTAATTTTTTTCTTTTTCTTTTTCTCTTTTTTGTAAAGAGGGGTCTCTCCCTATGTTGGTCAGGCTGGTCTTGAACACCTGGGCTCAAACGATCCTCCTGCCTTAGTCTCCCAAAGTGTTAGGATTACAGGCATGGGGCCATCACACCTAGCTAACCTTACTTTTTATTTATATAAAACATAGAACTGATGTTACACCTGTCCAGGTGGAAATATATCAATTAACCATGCCAATTGATAGCCCTAAGTATTATTTCTTAATTTTTAAAAAATTATATACTTTCCAAGGAACGTGAAGTATCCCTGTTTTGAATAGATCCAAATTTTTCCCATGCTGACTTTGGAGGTAAACTAGATCTTTCTACTGACTTTACCAAAATTTTGTAAAAATATACCCAGTACCTTCTCACATTTTTTCCCCAGGGCAGGGGGAACTGTGGTGTAAAGAAAAGTCTATATACAGTTTTTTTTTTTTCTTTTTTAAACAAATCCAGTCATTAAAAGCAGAGCTGCAGAGACAAGAGTAGGGAGTTCTTTTCTGTTCTGTGAGGTCTGGTTCTCTCTGAAGCAGAATTTCATCAAACTGAATGTGTTATGAATTTTAAACATATTTGAAGCTAAAAGGGGAAAAATAAGTATGTTGTTCTTTCTTGTAGGCTTGCCTTTAGATGTGTCTGGTCACTACCTTGGAAACCCGTACAAATGGCAACTGACGTCAAGAGAAGAGAAAAAAGCAGTGCCAAGAGCACACACTGCATGCATTACAGATGATTCTGAGGATGGAGGCTTTGCTGGTACTAAGTGGTTTTAAGATGAGGATAAACAAACTTCCATTTCACAAACATCTTTAAGTTTTTAATTTAAGCAAAGTGACATTTCAGTTATTAGCTTAAGTGTTCCATCCCACCATAACTGCCAAGGTCATTATAATGTTTGGCACTAATAAATGTCAAAATGAAGTGGAAGCTGCACCTTGTTTTGAAAATAGTTTATCCCAACATTTTATTATGAAAAAATTCAGACATACAGCAAGTTGAATTTTACAGTGAACAACCATATGCTCATCATCCAGATTCTTCCATTTTCAGTATACTCAACTGGCCTTATCATATGTCTGTCTGTCTTCCATTCATTAATCCATTGATCCATCGATCCATCGATCCATCCATCCATCCATCCATCCATCCATCCATCCATCCATTGATTCTTTTAGCTGTACCTTAATGCACCCAATTTTGATGCATTTCAAATAAATTGCAGACATGAGTGCACTTTCCCCGTAAATTTTCAGCATGCATATCACAACTAGAATTCAATATTCATTTATAGGTCTTCTTTTGATATCACATCTACATACAATGAAATGCACAAATCTTAAGTATACATTTGCTGTTTTGACAGGTGATTAGCTTTGGAGCATAGTGGGCTAGTTTTTTTAGATTTATCTTTTTTCTCTAGGGTCGCCACACCTATTATTCTTTTTCTTTTTTAAAAGGAAGTTTATTTTCTAGAGGCATTTTAGGTTCATAGCAAAACTCAACAGAAAGTACATAGAATTCCCATGTACCCACTGCACCAACACCATGTACAGCCTCCTCCACTGTCAACATGCTAACCAGAGTGGTATATTTGTTACAATCAATGGGCCTACATCGATACAATCCATAGCTTACATTAGTGTTCAGTCTTGGTGTTTTATATGCTGTGGGTTTGAATAAATATATAATAATATCTATCCACTATGGTAGAATCCTACAGAAGTTTAACTGCCTTAAAATCCTCAGTGCTTTGCTGTTCATCCCTCCTTCCCCTGGTAACCACTGATCTCCACTGTCTCAATAGTTTTACCTTTCTTAGAGATCACATAGTTGAAATCATACTACCAAAGATCTATGGTACCAAGGGGAGGTACTATCAAATCACGTAGTAACTCCCCTTGGTACCACAGATCTTTTTACTGTCTCAATAGTTTTCCCTTTGCCAGAGATCACATAGTTGAAATCATACTTGAATTTGCATTTAACAAGTTCAGAACACTCTTTTTGTAGAATCTATGAAGTGACATTCTGAACCTATTGATCTTTTACAAGAAAATATCAGGGTGGGTGTGGTGGCTCACACCTGTAATCCCAGCACTTTGGGAGGCTGCGGTAGATGGATCATGAAGTCAGGAGATTGACACCATCCTGGCCAACACGGTGAAACTCCATTTCTACTAAAAATACAAAAAAATCAGCAGGTTGCAGTGAGCTGAGATCGCACCACTCCACTCCAGCCTGGCATATTCATATTTAGGGCTGTATATGAGTCTAAAAAAGAAAGAAAGAAAGAAAATATGAATATTCAGCCCTAAGAACTAGAAACAAGCTCTCTGTAAAAATGCTTTGTGATGTGCTGTTTTACATCACAGAATTGAAGCTGTGATGTTGGTTTTCAGATTGGCTTCTTTCACTTAGCAATATGCATTTAAAGTTTTCCCATGTTTTTCATGGTTTGATAGCTCATTTCTTTTTAGCATCCCATTGTCTGGATGTACTACAGTTTATTTATTCAGCTACTGAAGGATATCCTGATTGCTTCCAATTTTTGGTAATTGTGAATAAAGCTGCTATAAACACTCATGTGCAGGTTTTTATGTGGACATAGGTTTTAATTCATTTGAGTAAATACTAAGGAACATGATTGCTGGATTATATGATAAGAGTAGGTTTAGTTTTATAAGAAGCTGCCAAACTGTCATCCAAAGTAGCTGCACCATTTTGCATTCCCACCAGCAATGAATGAGAGCTCCTGTTGTTCCATATCCTTGCCAGCATTTGGTGATGTCAGAGTCTTGGATTTGGGCCATTCCAACAGCTGTGTGGTAGAATCTCATCGTTGTTGTTTTGATTTGCATTTTTCTAATGACCTATGATATTGAGCTCCTTTCCATATGTTTATTTGCCTCTGTATACCTTCTTCGGTGAGGTATCTGTTTAGGTCTCACCATTTTATTTTCCTTTTTTTTTTTTCCCCAGGGATAACATCACCATTGTAGTCTCTTGCCATTTAAAAATCAGGTTATTTGTTTTCTTATTGTTGAGTTTTAAGAGTTCTTTGTATTTTACGTAATAGTCCTTTATCATATCAGTTATATTATTGCAAATATTTTCTTTTCTTTTTTTGAAAGGGAGTTTCGCTCTTGTTACCCAGGTTGGAGTGCAACTGCGCGATCTCGGCTCACCGCAACCTCCGCCTCCTGAGTTCAGGCAATTCTCCTGCCTCAGCCTCCCGAGTAGCTGGGATTACAGGCGTGTGCCACCATGCCCAGCTAATTTTTTGTATTTTTAGTAGAGACGGGGTTTCACCATATTGACCAGGATGGTCTCGATCTCTTGACCTCGTGATCCACCCGCCTCGGCCTCCCAAAGTGCTGGGATTACAGGCGTGAGCCACCGCGCCCGGCCCTATTACAAATATTTTCTACCAATCTGTAGCTTGTCTTCTCATCCTCTTGAGAGTGTGTTTTGAAAAGTTATATTCATTTTCCATTAAACAATTAGTCTATTCAACTGAGGGGAAAACTTGGTAGGCAAGATGATTCCTGATATCATGTAATCTACATTTTAATGCAAGAAACAACAATAAACAAATAAATGAATAAACGTATAATAGGGATTTATGTGGAGTTGCTTGCTGGAAAGAAAACGAAAACATAGTAAGGGGTTAAAGAGTAGCTGGAGAAGGATCACTCTGGCTGCTGTGTAGACCTCATGGGGCCAACACATACTGGGGGCCAGGGTAGAAGTGGGTTAGGAATCTACTGCCCTCATACAAGCAAAAGACAATGCGGGCATGGACTAGGGTGGAAGCAGTGGGTATGGTGAGAAATATCCAGATTCTGAGCATTTCTTAAAAGTGGCACTGGCATACCTTGCTCATGGATTGGTTATAAGAGAAAGGATTCAGGGATGAAAGCTAGGTTTGGACCTAAACAACTGTGTGAATAGTGGTGAAGTTAGGAGGAAGGTGTGGAAGGAAGCGGGTAGGGGACCAGGCTGGGGGATGGGACATTCAAGTGAATATTCAGGAGAAGATGGCCAAGCAGGCCATTGCAATTTGACCTGAAATGTTAGGGCTGGAAATACACACATTTGGGAGTCTTCAGTATATGGACAGTGTGCTGCACAGCTCTGTAGCCTTCCTAATTCTCACTCCAGGCCTCTCCACTCTGCTCTTTACCTTCAGATAGCCTGACCTGTGTGAATTCAGTCAATGAACTCCAACCCCTGGTTTCCAGCTGGATTCAGCCAGCCTTGTGGCAGATCAGAAAAAAGAGCAAGATGAGGTAGTGTATTCCCCCAGCTCCCCACTGAAGATTGGCTGAGTCCCTTGACCAAAACACACAGCTCCCATCACACAGGCCCTCTGACAGCTGTTCCTTTCTAGGTGCAGTCACTGCTCCTGACTGAATGAGGTTAGATGAGATCACTTAGGGAGCATAAATAGATAGAAAAGAAGAGCTTTTACACCCTAATATTTGGAGGCCAGAAAGAAGAGGTGGGCTCTGCCAAGGGGGAGTCTATGCGGCAGAAGAAAAACAGGAACATATGGTGTCTGGTGTCTGGGTAGTGACCCAGGGAAGGTAGGTTCTTCAAGAGATAGTTCTCCTGGTGGGGCATGGTGGCTCACGTCTGTAATGCCAGCACTTTGGGAGGCCTAGACGGGCAGATCGCTTGAGGTCAGAAGTTTGAAACCAGCCTAGCTAACATGGCAAAACCCCATCTCTACTAAAAATACAAAAATTAGCTGGGTATAGTGGTACACACCTGTAATCCCAGCTACTCGGGAGGCTGAGGCACGATAATTGCTTGAACCCAGGAGGTGGAGGTTGCAGTGAGCCGAGATTGCACCACTGCACTTCAGCCTGAGCGACAGAGCAAAACTGTCTCCACCAACAAAGGAATGAACAGTTCTCCTCAAGTGTCCCAAACTACTATTTTCCTGAAACTCTCAGACCTCTTCTTGTTCCCCCTCATCATTCTTGACTTTTTCTTCTCTCAGGGTTGTTGAAGTTGCTTTGCAATTAAACTTTAGACACTCCTGGATCTGCTGATATGTTGTGTCTGACTTCAGGGGAGGTGATGGTTTGAGCTCTGGTCAGAGGCTCTCAGCAGCTGTACATATCTACAGATGCATCAGGTATGGGAAGGAGAGGGAAACAGGGGAAACCAACAGGAAATATACACAGACAACTCTTTTTTTTTTTGAGATGGAGTCTCGCTCTGTCACCCAGGCTGCAGTGCAGTGGCACAATCTCGGCTCACGGCAACCTCCAACTCCCAGGTTCAAGCAATCCTGTCTCAGCCTCCTGAGTAGCTAGGGTTACAGGTTCACACCACCACACCTGGCTAAATTTTGTATTTTTAGTAAAAATGGGGTTTTGCCATGCTGGCCAAGCTGATCTGGACTCCTGAACTCAAGTAATCCACCCACTTTGGCCTGCCAAAGTGCTGGAATTACAGGCGTCAGCCACTATGCCTGGCCAGGCAATTATTATTACTATATATTTTTTGAGACAGTCTCGCACTATTACCCAGGCTATAGTGCAATGGCGCAATCTCAGCTCACTGCAGTCTCCGCCTCCTGGGTTCAAGCAACTCTTCTGCCTCAGCCTCCCGAGTAGCTGGCACTACAGGCATGCGTCAACACACCCCGCTAATTTTTTTTTAATTTTAGTAGAGACAGGGTTTCACCGTGTTGGCCAGGATGGTCACGATCTCTTGACTTTGTGATCCACCCGCCTTGGCCTCCCAAAGTGCTGGGATTACAGCGTAAGCCACCACCGCGCCTGGCCACAATTATTTTTAAATAATATTACGCTGTGAATATGGTTAAAGCAGGAACAATTTCATATTCACCATCAATGTTCAGAAACTAACACCCACTTCACAGCTGCAGCTTGATAAATTTTTTTTGAATAAATACTTTTTTTAAAAAAAATGATATATTGCAATATAATTATACTACGTTTTTGGTGCATGAAGGCACCTTTACAGAGTTGACAACCTTAAATTGCCCTATCCTTTGTTTCTGTAGTTTATGTTTTCATCTTCTCAGTACAATTCTGTTTTTTTTTAAAGTACATTCATACACAGGTAATTTGTAACACATCTCTGATTATGCTTTCAAATGTTACAAATTATCTGAGTATGAATGTACTTTAAAAAAAACAGAATTGTACTGAGAAGATGAAAACATAAACTGCAGAAACAAAGGATATGGATTTAGGTCACTAGGACTCTCGGGCCATCATATAAATGTATTAGTACTGCACTAGCAACAGTTTTGTTTTAAAATGTGACGCTGTTACTCACTAGTATCTCGGTGCCATTCCCAGAAAGCATGCTGTATGTGATCGGCAAGTTTTTGCAGACTGTTCTCTATTTGCGGCCTCTATGTTAGTGTGCGTGACTGATTTCCTCAGCTCTCTTCATCCTTTCCTAACTCAGTTTCGCTGACAAATATCTGTCTCTTCCACAGGGTTCCTAGAAAATATATATATTTATTTATTCATTTAGAAAATGAAATTCCACATTCAGCACAACACTGTTGGTTTTTGTCTGTTTGTTTGTTTGTCTTAGGGGGAAGTGGGAAGATAGCCGACGTAACCATTCCATTCAAGTAGTTACGGCATTCCTCATTCAACTGGCTGACCAAGGATAAACTGGGTCTTAGCATCTCAGCTTTGGCAGTATTGGGCTCTGGACGTGGGGACAAAGTGATTGCTGAACTTCCCCAGAGACAGGAAGTGTTGTACTAATCAGAACTCTTTTGGTTGGAAATGACAGAAATGAAGCCAAAATAAAATAAGCAGAAGGGGGAATTTTTGGCTCTCATAAACTGAGGAGAGGGCAGGGCACAAATGGGCTTCCAGGGATGCCTGGGAGCAGGAAGTCAAATGCCATTAGGATTCCCAATCCCTGCGCTTTCTCAGACTCCACAGTGATGGAGAGCCCCGAAGCTCCTCCCAGGCTCACCACTCCAGCTTCCTCACACATAGGAGAGTCCCTGATGTTTTTGTTCCCATTTTAAAACTCCTGAATGAGGACTTTGAAGATCCATGCTTGGGTCACTTGCCTAGCCCTGAGATCAGTATTTGGCTAGAACCAACTAGCTGGAGTAAGGCCAGGAGCTGCTCTTCAGGGGGAGAGGAGGGCAGTGCTGCAGACAGTAACGGATGACCTCCACAAAGCTCAAACTTTTGACTTGGACCAGCCAGCCTCCTCGAATTGCTGTGATTTATACGTGGTCTAAATGGATGAGGACTGACCCCAATTCTCAGTTGCTCAAAAATGCTTTCCCTTCTCACAGTCCTCTCAAATGGATTAGTATTGGCATTTGAGGAGTTTTGAGGGATGGGAAAAGAGACGCCAAGTTTACTGAGTCATTTGCCTTTTGGTGTTTGAGTCGTTAAACTTTTCTAAAACACCATGGGCGTTTTTCAATGGTTCTATTCTCAAAATAGAGAATGCAGACACATTATTAGAAAAGCAGAAGGAAGTCTACAGGAAAATTATTTACTCTATAATTAAAATGCTGCTGCCAGGCGACAGAGAAAGACTCTGACTTACGTTTCAAGGCAGAGGTGGAGTAGCAGTGCTGGGAAGGGAAGAGTACCTAAACTCCCTTGCCAGGGAAGTGTGCTTTTGGTCAAGATAAGCAGATCTAGCCCAGTCCACCCTCCTTGTCTGCTGTTTCTAGAGCACTGAGCAAATGCAGAGCCCATACCAAAATAGGCCCAGAAATTATTTTCCTGCCCCTGGGATCGATGCTCTGATCACTGCTATTGCCTGCCTTTGTGATACTACGGCAAAGGCCAATGCTGGGTTAGAAGTGGGATTTCAAGCGGCTAATCCAGTTGTCTTGGTAGGAAAGAGCTGGATGGAAAATGTGAGGAAATGGAAGGGCTCCCTGCAGGCATGGGAAACTGGGAGAAAGAGTGAGAAAGTACTGAAGGGTGCAAACTAGGGTTGGTAACACGGGCTTGGGAGGTGTTGTGAGTTGAGTAATGTCACTCCCAAGTATATATGGTAATGCCCTAACCCCTACTGCCTGTGTATGTTAGGCCATTCTTGCACCACAATAAAGAAATACCTAAGTCTGGGTACTTTATAAGAAAAGAGGTTTAAGTGGCTCACTGTTGTGCAGGCTGTCCAAGAAGCACAGCAGCATCTGATTCTTGGGAGGTCTCAGGAAATGGCAGAAGGCAAGGGGGAAGCAGGTTTATCACAAGGTAAGAATGGAGCAAGAGCGAGAGAACAGGTGGGCAAGGGGCCACATACTTTTAAATGACCAGGTCTTGTGAGATCTCACTCACTATCTTGAAGATGGCACCAAGCCACGAGGGGTCTGCGTCATCCAAATACCTCCCATCAGGCCTCACTTCCAGCATTAGGGATTAGAATTCAACATGAGATTCGGGCGGAGACAAATATCTAAATTATGTCACTGTGACTGTGTCCTTATTTGGAAATAGGGTCTTTGCAGATGTATTCAAGTTAAGATGAGGTCAGTAGGGTGAACCTGAATTCACTAATTCAACACAACTGGTATCCTTATTAGAAGGCAACATTTGGACATAGAGACAGAGAGGGAAAACAGTGCAGACACAGGAGAATACAGCCCCTTGAGGGGCCACGTAGCGAGGAAACGGAGGCAGAGATATTGGAGGTGTGTTGTCACAAGCCAGGGAACATCTGAGGCTGTCTGAAGCTGGAAGAGCAAAGGAAAAATCTCCCCCTGAGGCTTCCAAGGGAGCATGGTGCGGCCAACACCTTGATCTTGGCCTTCTAGTCTCCAGAACTGTAAGACAATGAATTTCTGGTGTTTGAAGCCACTCTGTTTGTGATATTTTGCTGTGTCAGCCTAGGAGACTGGTACAGGGGTGATGTGGGGGTTAGGGAAGCAACACAAGAAAAAGAAAAACATGAAAATACGTCATTGGGAAACCCAATTTGTATGATGTGATAGCATTGATTCATCTATGTAAAATTACAATATGTGCATATATATAAAGAAACTCAAAAATAGAAAACGAATAGGAAAAATATCTTCCCCATGTTTTCAGCCAAGTAGAGATTCATTCATTTGGATTCACAGGCGTCTATTTTAAAACACAAACATCCCTTGAGAGAGTTAACTGGAAGAGTTCACTACATTTCATGTAAAGCTTTATAATTAGCTAATCAAAATTCTTTGCTCTTAATGTTCAGCAGAAACCAGTATAGAGGGATTCACATTTTTGCTCAGGAGGAATGGAAGGCCTTTATCATCTCAGTATGATTAACTTAACTATGAATTCAATATTTTTTTAGGACTAATTCTATTTTAAAATTTTCCCTCGCTATTTGGCTTGTTAAAAATTCTACTATATTTGTTAGGCCAGGTGACCTGATCCTTTGTTTGGATAGAATGAAAACTTGGCCAGGCACGGTGGCTCACGCCTGCAATCACAGCACTTTGGGAGGATTGCTTGAGGCCAGGAGTTCAAGACCATCCTGGGCATCATAATCCCTATCTCTACACACCCCCAATTTTTTAAAATCAGTTAGGCATGGTGACACACACCTATAATCCTAGCTACTTGGGAAGCTGAGGCTGGAGGATTGCTTGATTCCATGCATTTGAAGCTGTAGTGAGCTCTGATCATACTGCATTCTACCCCGGGTGACAGAGTGACAGTATATCTCCAAAAAAAAAAAAAAAAAAATGAAAGAAAGAAAGAAAAGAGTGCTTTAGACAACAAAGGGCCAGGCGAAGGCCAAATGCCATGTATGGGAGGCTGGCAGTGGTGCCTGACACGGGAGAAGGGAGAATGACATGAGAGGGAAAGTTTGCTGAGTGTCATCATTATGGAAACTGCTTCTTGATAGTCTTTACTGTCATTTGGCTATTACCTTTTTGACTTGCCAGCATCTATTTGCTAGTTAACAAACTTGCAAAAGTGTAATTACTGATGTAATGGATCCTGCATGCTAATTCTCTGACCCCAAATTTAGTTTGGTCCCATGCTTGGGTAGGTTGGACTCTCTATTTTGGTTTATTTGATTAGTAACAATTTTCGAATCTTTACGCCAAAGCAGATTCCTCTCCCTTCTCCTCAAGCTGGAGGTGTGCATGGATGTGTGCCCAGCATGAGGGGTGAGGAATGGCCACCGAGAAGGAAGTCTGAAGTGGCCTGCAGTAAGCAATAAGTTTGGGTTTTTTTACAAAAAATCATTTAATTTTACATTCTACTCAGTGCTTTATCAGTGTTTGTTTTAATATTTTAACCCATGCATGGTTAATTAACATTTTCATTGACGCTTCTATTAGGTTATTTAATTCCCTTTCTCCCTTCTGCCTTTGAGCACAAAAGAGGCTCTGTAGGAAGATACGCATGTGATGTGCTATGGCTTAGAGGGCCTCCTCTCTCAGGCTACCTCCTTTATTATGTCCCAGGAGTAGTCTCTCACTTTTGGAAACAATTATAAAATGAAGGATTGCCAACTATCTGAGGAAAGCCGTTTAATAAATGATAACGCCCAAACCTAACCAATGATCTAAGAAGAGCCTTTTAACATGGAAGGTAGAGAATATACACTCCAGCTCAAGGGGCATCAGGCTGGCACCAGGCAGAGGGGCTCGAACCCTGGGAGTCTGAGCTCAGCCCAGCACAGGAAATGGGAGTGAGTGAGTCAGCACGAAGCACATTGCAGCGATCTGCTGCTGATGCCCAGCTTTCTCAAGCCCTCTTGGGGAACTCGCACAAGTGCTGCAGGCCATGAGGCAGGCTCACAGCTGAGATCATCTCAGCTTCTAGCCTGGTCAAGCTGTAGGCAAAACTCTGAAGAAGGCAAAGTGTAGCCTCCTCCTGTTGATTCTACTTCCGAGTTGTCTGAGACTGCTCTTCCCCGAAGGACTCATTCTGCAGACATTTATCCTTGTCCCAGTGTCTTAGTCTATTTTGTGTTGCTATAAAGAATACCGAAGCCTAGGTATTATTTTTAAAAGAGGTCCATAGTTTTGCAGGCTTACAAAAAGCATGGCACCAGCAATTGCTTGGCTTCTGGTGAGGGTATCAGGCTGTTTCCACTTATGGCAGAAGGTGAAGGAGAGTCTGTGTGGAGGTTATGTGAAAAGAGAGGAGGGAATGTGGGAGTTGGGAGTGGGAGGTATCAGGCTCTTTTTAACAACAACCTCCTGTGGGAAATAAGAGAGAGAAAGCTCACTCACAGCCTCCCACTCCCAAGGAGGGCATTACTCTATTCATGAGAGATCTGCCACCATGACCCAAACACTTCCCATTAGGCCCCAACTGCAACATTGGGAATCAGACATCAACATGAAGTTTGGAGGGGACAAACACCCAAACCATAGTGACTAGTTCCTAACACTACTCAACTCTTACCATAGATATTTGTTTCTCCTGTTTACCATTTCTGGTCAATACCTGCTGAGATAGGCTTTTAAATAGTAGGGTTTTAGAAGAGGTTTCATTTAAGCA